TCACTTTTTGCAGTTCAACATGAATGTATCAGTTTTAGTTTTAGTTTGTTTTAGTTCCACATGAATATAACAGTTAAAGATACTGTTAACTTGGTATGCATTGATAATTATCACGTCAAAGTGTTTTTAATTTGGTCTGTCAAAGCATAACCAAGCGTTAAAGATTTTAATTTGGCTTGTCAATGATATATTTGGTATGTTATGTTTTTATGTTTACTTGGTCTGTTATAGACCTGTGAAAGTTGGTATGTTAATTTGGTTTGTTAATTTTGTCTGCATTTTTACACCATATTAGACATGATTGTAGTAATATAAAGTTCGTGACAGGTCCATTTATAATACATAAAGTTCATGACAGGTTTTGCTTTTAGGTTCATTTCATAGTACCTATAAGTTGGTTATGCTTTTAACATAAAGTTCATGACAGCAGGATACATAAACAACAACAGCAGCAGGATACATAAACTTGTAATACATTCCACAAAATAGACTTGTTCCAAAACAACAGTAGAATACATAAACTTGTTCATGACAATTAGGTTATGCTTTTAACACAACTGATACACAAGTTCCACAATAATAAAATACATAAACATTGTAATACATTCCACAACTAGAGTTTTCTAGGTAACTGAATACACATGTTCCACAACTAGAGTTTCTTCTTTGGCGTGGTCCTCTTTGTTGGAGTAGACCTCCTTGTTACTGGGACAACAACATTCTTGGCAGCACTCAACCTAGTTGTAGGCCCAGGTGGCACAAAAGGTCTTGTTGGCTTCCTTACAGGCAGCTTTTGTGTCTTGCCTTTAGCAAGTCCATGTGTCTTCTGAGCAGCCTTTCCCTTAGAAGTCTGAGATGCTTGGCTAGATTGTTGAGTAGAAGTTCTCTTAGCAGTGTGTGTTGCTTTGTTCTGAGAGGGTTGACTTGGTTGTTGAGTAGGCTGAGTTGTTGAAGTAGGAGTGTGTTGGCTAGGTTGTTGAGTAGTCTGAGTTGGAGTATGAGAGGGTTGGGCTGATTGTTGGCTAGGTTGTTGAGTAGTCTGAGTTTTTGTGTCCTTACATGTAGATTTGTAATGTCCTGCTTTCTTACACCTACTACACTTCACCAGAAAACTAGTTCTTCTCAATTTGCAAACAGACCCATCAATTTCACCTTGTTCCAGGTTCCTCCTCTTTTTAGGTCTACCAGGCATCTTCCTGAACTTGGGTGGTTGCACATCTGGATATGGTGTCTTAACCCACAAGTTTGCTCCATTAACAGGGTAGATCATATGCTTATAAACTGCCTTGTACCTTGTACCTTGAAACCCTCTCCATCATGTATGTTCTGATGTCTTCTAACACAGTGATTAGAGGTTTTGCCCTTGCTTCAAGAATGACACTATTAAAGGACTCAAACATGTTGTTGAGAACAACATCATATTTGTTTTCAGTCCTAAAGTAAGATCTACTCCAAAACCTTGGTGGGGTCTTTATCATATGTTTAAATGATTCTTCATTGGTGGCCCTCATTCCCTTCATCTCTCTTTCCCATGCCTGTGGGTATGTTGATTTGACAGCCTTCCATATTATGCCCTTCAACATCTTTCCAGGAAACTTTTTCCTAAAATTGTTATAGAGGTGCCTAACACAAAATCTGTGCTCCACCCTTGGCAATTGCTCATCCATAGCAGGTAGCAGACCCTGCAATAACATACAATATAGCATTACAATATAGCATAACAGGAATAACATAACATAAACACATAAAACCATAAGAATAAATGAAAAACTTGCCTTTTGTTGGTCTGAGATGAAGGTGTAAGTCAGGCATTCATCTTTGCCTCCAAGGTCATCAATTAACAGCTCTAAAAACCAAGTCCAGTTATCCTTGTTTTCACTCTCCACAACTGCATATGCTATGGGAAGCATCTGATTATTAGGGTCCCTCCCAATGGCAGCTAGTATCTGCCCTACACACAACCCCTTAAGAAAACACTCATCCAGGCCTATTACATGTCTGCACAACTTAAAGCTTTCCTTACATGCGGCATAACATATGTAAAGCCTTCTAAAATATGGTTTTTCATCCTCAACACCTACTTGTACAGGCTCAACATTGAGCTTAACTGTTGACCCTGGATTGGCTCTTAACAGTTCATGACAGTAGTCATAAACCCTTGTGTAATCTCTCGAAAAGGAACCATCTACATAGTCTCTAGCTGTAAATCTTGCTCTTATAGCTTTGGTTTTGTTGACCCCAACATTCCACTTTTTTTGTGCCTTCTCCTTGATATCCTTTATACTCAACCTTTGATTGTTTTTCAAGCTATTTTGAATTCTTTTACTCAACCACTTTGTACTCATTAGCTTCACATTATAATCTCTACTGCAACTGTGTTTGTCAATTACTTTCTGGAGTTGCCAAGTGTCTTCATTTGACAACTTGCTACAATAAGCCTCCGACTCACAACCAACTTTACATCTAACCCTTACCCTAACTCTGTCATTTTTTACAAACCTTAGATCTCTACCATTTTGCACATCATAAGTTGTTATTGCTTCCCTAAAATCACCCTTTGAACTAAAGTACATTCCTACATCCCACTTGTAATCTGACATGTCTTTTGGCTGTCTGAAAATTGGATGTTTTTTTCTTAGAACTCCATTGTTATCATCACTATCACAACCACTTTTCATTTCCTCATTGTCATTGTGACTCCCTTTACTATCATTTTCTACGACTTCTCCATTACCATCATTTTCATGACCAACTAGGGTATCAAGTTCATCCTCCTCAGTCTCATCACACCCATCAGACTCATCCTCAAAAGCAACATCTTGTGCGCTATCATAATTGTAGTCTCCATCTACACTATCATCAGATGATAGACTTAAGTCATCATACACTGCAGCTTTACCTTTTTCAACTCCAACATTACCTTCTTCCCCTGCAGCACTCCCTTTTCAACTCCAACATTACCTTCTTCCCCTACATGATTTCCTTTTTCAACTCCAACAGTATGTTCATCCACTGCAGGATTCTCATTAACTCTAACATCCCCTGCAGGATTCCCTTCCTCCAACCCAGCAGTGGCTTCATCAACTCTAACATCACCTTCCTCCAACCTAACAATGGCTTCATCAACTCTAACATCACATTCCTCCAACCCAACAATGGTTTGTTCAACTTCCACAACTTCATCATGCAGTTGACTAAGTAACTCCTCTACCTCATCTACAATTTCAGCAGGGTCCTCATCAACTTCATCAGCAACAACATCACAATAGTCAGGTTGAGACAATGTGTGTTCAATATAAATATCAATATTTTGGTGCACCCTATACAGATCTGCAATTTCTAAAGCACCATTGTCATCAACAAGTGGATTCATCCCAAATTGAGGATCCTTGTAAAATATTATTTCAAACTCCCTATAACCTAAGTCTTTCAATACACCAACTAGCTCAAAATAACTCCATCTGTCTACATTTACCCTCAAATCATATACTACTCCATTCTCATATACACTACGACCTTCATCTGTGAACTCACCACTATGATGAATTTTGAGAGTTATGTATTCATCCATGATACCTAATCATATCATGTAAATAATTAAAGTTTAAACTAACAAATTTACATAAACCCTAAATCTGAACCTCTACCAGAAAACCCTAAATCAGAGAGAAATGAACTAACCTTTTGATTATGTCTCTTGAATCGTCTTCAATCCTCCGCCCTCAATCCTTCGCGTCTGCAAACCTTGAATCGTCTTCAATGGTTCAATGAATTCTCCAAGACTCCAAGATATGATTACACTTCTCCAAGCGTATTGTGCCTTCTTCTGGGTAATAGTGGGTAATAGAAACGTTAGATTGTTTTTTCTTCCTCTAAGACACTTCATATCCACGTCAGCAGCTCCACCTGGACAAACGTGGCAATTTTTTCAAAGTTTGACTAATGGCAATACACAGAAGGATAAACGTGACACCATTTTAAAAGTTAAAGGACCAACTTGCCACTTTTTAAAGATAAGGGACCAAAATGGACCCCGAGCTAAAGTTAAGGGACGAAAAAGGTTATTTTGCCTTTATAATTCAAGTTTAGCTCATTTAGTTAATGAACTTGATTTTTGCCTCATATTCAACTCATCTGGTTCATAAACCCAGTCCAACGATTTAATTGTCGAATTAAATTCTAAAATATGTTTGAGTTGGTTTGTTTCATTGTCAACCCTACTAAAAAAATTATAATAAATGTCAAATATTTTTTTGTGTGCTTACCTTCTACTCCCTACGTTCTCTTTTATAAATAAATTTTAACTTTTAAATTCATATTAAATAACGTATTTAAATTATATATAAATAAAATACATTAATTATTTAATAAATGTAAAAATTTAAAATTAATGGAGAATGCATGTTTATATTTATATATAAACTCTATTATATTGAAATAGAACATTAATTCTCTATATCTAATTTGTGAAACTCAAGAATCCATATTATTTACCTTTTTTTCTCCAACCATCTTTCAACATCCAACCAACCAAAACCTACACTAATTAAGCTAAGAAATTAAATGACACTACCCACGGTGACTAAATTCCAATCTTACTAACTAAGTAAAGCTTAAAAGATTCCATCATGAAAGTAAATGAGATCACAGTAACATCATCACCATAAAATAATTCAATCCAAAACCTCTAAAAAAGTATAAAGAAAAGCATAACAATCTCCAATTCTTTTTTCCAACTTCCTTTTCATAATACTACCTTTTAAAAATCTAACCTTATGATGTCACATCATATTCAATCTTTTGCAGTTAATTAAGGATCATGCTTTTCCATCGTGTACCACACGCACTTATCATGCGTGTGCTTAAACCTCAAACATCAAAACAACATCAACAACAACATTCAACAGCAACATCTTCAACAACAAAGACAATGTTCCTTTGAAGAGTGTTCTATTCTATTCTGTTCTTTTCTGTTTTGTTCTTTTCAAGCATTTTCTTTGATGGGTAGGCTTGCACCATTATCAGAAGAACCTTTCAATGAAGAAAATGAAAGAAGAAACAATAACTCAAAGAAAGGTTTTCAGTTATGGATGAACTGGAATTGGATCAAGACCCATTTTTCTTTTGTTTTCCACAAGAAATCTAACCTCAAGATGCTTCTTAGTGTTCTTGGTTGTCCACTTTTTCCTGTTCCTGTTCATACTAAATTACCCCTTAATGAGGTAACTTTTTTTTTGTCTTCTATCTAATTTTAAATGCTTCATGCAATATTTTATTTTTTTAGTTAACATCTCTAGTATGTTATACAAATATATCTACCACATAGTTCTATGAAGAAATATAGTACAATACATATTATTTTGAAATTTTTCTGTTATGTTTAGAATCATTCACATGAAAATATAAATAAAATTGTTTGTTTTTTCAATTTTAGAATTATGCTACAAAAAATTGTTCATGGATTTAGTATTATCTTCTTAAGTGGTCATTCATTGCTCGAAGGATTAGTATGTGCAGTTGTTTGCAGCAGATATCTGGTTGGTTTCTGCTAAAAAAACTATCCTTTTTAAGTGATCTTTGTTTGATCTCAATCTGTTACAGGTTTCGTCTTCGGCCCAGTATATTATACAACACTTTACAGCTGCAACAGGGTGTAGGAAGTTGGAGGGGACAGTGAAGAATGTGTTTGTTACTGGAAAAGTGACAATGGTTGTTGTGGATGAGCGTTAATGGAGTTTCAGAAAAAGGGTGTTTTGTGATGTGGCAAATGGTTCCTGATAATTGGCAGATAGAGATTGTTGTTGGTGGCCAAAAGGTTCTTGCTGGTAGTAATGGCACTATTGCTTGGCGTCACACACCTTGGCTCGGCGTGCACGCAGCTAAAGGTGGCGTCCGTCCTCTTCGCCGTGCACTTCAGGCAAGTTCGTTTGTCAAACTTGATTTTGAATGTTTTGTACTTTGATAACAAGTTTTATATAGAGTATAGACGCGGAATCTATTCATATAGCCGTTATGCCAAACACGCGCTTAGGAATAAACCATCTTTGAGGACGTGCAAGACAGATTACATCAAGTGTCCAAATTTTTGACACTGTTAAATCAGAACTAAATAGGGTCTCGTAAAATATTTGTCACGATTAGAACCTCTCTTTGTTTTGCCACATTTAAACCATGACTAACTTACTCAGGTCTTGAGTAATTTAAGACGGTCCTGTTTTAACCTCAACCTCGGAAAAATTGGTATCCTGTTTTTAATCTGTTATGAAGCTTGACAGAAAAATATTGTCAAGAAACAAGATGATTAATCAAACATATTTAATTTGTTTGAATGATCATAAATGTCATTAAACTACTATAATGCTATTGTATTTTTGTTACCTAAAAAAACAAACATTAATTGTGGTTATGCTATGTAGGGACTAGATCCTTTAGCAGTATCAGCTGTATTCAGTGTAGCACAACACATGGGAGAGAAACAAATTGACGGCGTGGATTGTTTCGTGCTAAAACTCTCGGCCGATCAAAAAGACCTAGTCGAACGAAGCGATAACACGGCCGAGATGATCAAGCATGCTATATTCGGTTATTTTAGTCAAAGAAGTGGACTTTTAGTGTACTTGGAGGACTCTTACTTGACAAGAATTCAAGCAATAGGGACAAACCCTACATATTGGGAAACATCAATGTCGACGAAAATCAAAGACTATAGAGATGTTGAAGGTGTTATGATTGCACATTCTGGATCGACGACCGTGATAATAACAAGGTTTGGCGATAATCTTAAGGATGGACCGGTGATTACTAAGTTGGAAGAATCATGGAGTATTGATGATGTTGCATTCAATGTTCAAGGTTTGTCTATTGATTGTTTCTTGCCACCTCAAGAACTTAACAAAGATTGTCCACAACAACATCTTGATTGGAAATCATCCTTGCATAGATGATGGACGTTGTATCAAAAACTGTTATGGTTGTGTTTTTTGTGTTCCACGCGGCTCGAGGGATTAACTGCAGTGTATAAGGATACTCGATTTATACGAGAAAAAAGATGCTAATGGTTAATTAACATGTATAATGAATGGTTTTGTAATTGTAATACAGTACTAACCCATACATTCTGGGCATAGTATATGTAAACTTGATTTTAAGTTTGTTGTGAGTTATGAGATGAATGCTGATAAGAAATTGAAGCCATTATCCAGGGTGAAAGAACAATTTTACATTAGTGTTTTGCATCATAATAGTAGTGTTATCGTTTGGTGAAACTCTTATCAATGCCTTATTGCCTTAGTGCCTTATATAGGCTCAATATTATTACAATGTAAATGCAAGCCTATCATTTCCCTCTTTAAATTGAACTTGAGTAACGAACGAATAAAAAATCTGTTTATATTATTTAAGTCACGTATGCATAACCTATTCCTCATGTGGCAAAATGTCTTTAGCTTCAAAGAATTGGTCAAGATATCAACTAATTGATGCGGAGGAAGGAAAACTGTGATAATCGCATCGGATAAAATTAAAAAAAAAAAACTTTGAAATAGATTCTTACGAATGATCACGAGTCGAGATTAATTGATTACTACTTATAATGCATAAGTGAAGACTCCTAAAATGTGTACCTAAGTAAAGACTCAATATCTCATATCCACTGAGATGTGAAATGTGATCATCAGTTCATTTGCATAATAGTTTTTGTTAAGTATTAACAAGTATGAGTAGTGTGGATAATAGGCTCACATTGGATAGGAATGTGGTGACTTAGAGATACGCTTATTAAGCCTTTCTAGCTTTGAAGCAAACTTCTTCCTTGAGTCTGCGCCGTCTTAAAAACCAAACTCTAATCTTGCTAGTTCAGTTTGTGTGTTTGACGTGAGCGCGTTGAACTAGTGTGCATGGACCTTAGCCACGAGTTTTTCGGCCTAGACATTAATAACACGAAAACACTTTGGTCTTGGGTTTTCGATCTCTGTTTTTCCGCTTAGTCTTGCTTCTTTGGTTACTTCACTTGAGTTATAGATTAATGAGCATTTATAAGTGAGAGAAACAATACACCTATCACCTTAAGGTTTCGAGTGAGTATGTGGTGTGTCTCTCACAAAAATGTTGCTCTAGAAAGAAAAGTACCACAATGTTCAATGCTCCCTAGTTGAAAATCTCCCCCAACAGTGGAGCTTACTTAAGTCCATATAGGACTTTATGCAGCCTGTACACCTTTCTTTCTTCGTCTTGTTTCACAAACCCAGTTGCTTATGCAACATAAACTTTTTCGTCTAAGGGGCCATTAAGGAATGCACATTTCACGTCCATCTGACATGTGTGCCAATTGTTCATATTTGCTAGACCAACAACCAATCTGATTGTTTCAATCCTAGCAATAGGTTCAAAAACTTCGCCGAAGTCGATTCCTTGCTTTTGAAGAAATCCTTTTACCACAAGTCTCGCCTTGTGTCGAGTTACCTCTCTTTTGGGATTCACCTTCACCTTGTAAACCCATTTCACATCAATTGCCTTTTTGCCTTGAGGCAAATCGACAAGTCACCATGTGTTGTTGACTTCGATGGGGTCTAACTCCTCATTCATTGCTTGCACCCACTTCGAATCCTTCAATGCCTCAACTGCATTGACTGGTTCGACATCTGCGTAGAAAGCATAGTGTACCAGCTCACATTCTTCATCGATCACATCATCTGATGTGATCACACATTCTTGCAACCTTGCAGGCATGTGTCTTGTTCGTTGAGATCTGCTTGGGACAACTTCATCTCTGACTTGTTCCTGTCGAACTTCTCTTTTGTCTTCAATGGTTGGTTATTCACAAGAGATTTTCAATGAATCGTTCTTGACATTCTCAGTCCAATCTCATTCTTTAAGCTCATTTATGATCATGTCCCTGCTGATTACTAACTGCTTATTCACTGGGTCAAATAACTTGTAACCTCTAGTCGAATGATATTCTATCAAGATCATCTGATTCGACTTATCATCAAGCTTCCTTCTCAACTGATCTGACACATGTCTATGTGTTATAGATCCAAACACCTTCAAGTGACTCAGGCTAGGCTTGACACCAGACCAACATTCTTTTAGTGTGATTCCTTCAAGCTTCTTCGTCGGACATCTGTTTAATATGTATGTTGCTGTCGAAACCGCTTCTCTCTATAATTCTTTGGGTAGATGCTTTCCGTTCAACATACTTCTCACCATGTTCATGATGGTTCTTTTCTTTCTTTCTGCAATTCCATTTTGTTGTGGAGTGTAGGGTGACACCACCTCATGCACAATACCTTCCTTTTCACATAATGCATCGAACACTTTCGACATATACTCTCCACCACCTTCAGTCCTCAGAATTTTCAGCTTTCGACCACTCTGTCTTTCGACCATACATTTGAATGTGGAAAATACCTCGATCACATCATTTTTCTTCTTGATGAGGTAAGTCCATAGCTTTCGACTATAATCATTTATGAACGTGACAAAGTATCTATTGTCTGCAATTGAATCCACCTGGATTGAACCACATACATCAGAGTATATGACTTCCAGAATTGCCTTCAACTTCCTTCCTGCATCCTTGCTGAAGCTATTCTTATGTTGTTTCGATTGAACACACTTTTCATAAACTTCACTTGGAATTTCGATTTCAGGTAATCCTGAAGTCATATTTCTCCTCATTAGCTCTCTGATGTCATTGAAGTTGTGATGGACTAGTCGAAAATGCCATAACCATTCATCTCTGCTGGCTGCAGATGCTAGGCACTTGTGCTCCATCATATTGAGTTCAATCTTGAAGGTTCTATTCTAAGACGTTGGAGCCTTTAAGATCAACCTACCACCTGCGTCGAGAACTCTCATCATTTTCTCTTCAATCGACACCTTATAGTTCTTTTCGAGTAATTGTCCTATACTGAGCAAATTGCTCTTCATGTCTGGTATGTACAACACATTGGAAATTGTTGACCTCTTGCCATCTTTCCTCATAATCAAAACATCGCCAATACCTTCAGCTGCTAGAGTATTGTCATTTGCAAATTTCACCACGTTCTTCAACGAGGGCTTCATGTTGACAAACCAATCTTTTCTTCCAGTCATGTGTGATGAGCATCTTGAGTCCAAGTACCATTGATCCTGGACTCTCTCTTCGTCTCTTGTTGTGACCATTAGCAACATCTCTTCTTCTTCATGCTTCACCATCTTTGCATCAGTTTCTTGATTCTTCTTCTTTTTTCGACATTCACTAAAATAGTGACCATACTTCTGACAATTGAAACACTGAATGTCACTTTTGCCAAGCTTTCGTCCACCACTTCTTCCTCTACCTGCAACACCACCTCTTTGGTTTCCTTGGTTCCAGGGTTTTCTTTGATTCGACCAGCCGAATTGTTATAACATCCTCTACCTTTGTTGTCATTCCAACTTCCTTTGCCTTTACTTTCCTTTTTTGACTGTGCTTGCAAAGTCATATCACTCTTCGACTTTCCTACAACTCTCTCAACCATCCTTTATTCATGAGACTCAAGTGTCCCTTGAAACTCTTCCTTTGTCAATGTTGACAAGTCTTTTGACTCTTCTATGGCTACTACCACGTGGTCGAACTTTGGAGCCAACGATCTTAAGATCTTTGCAACAACTGATCTTGATGTTAACACTTCTCCATGTACCTTGATTTGATTCACCAGCTTTGTAACTCTAGTGAAGAAATCTGCTATACTTTCACTTTCTTCCATCTGAAGCAATTCATAGGTTCTTTTGTGAGTTTGTAACCTCACCTCTTTCACCTTTTCTGCGCCTCCAAATGGCTTTTCAAGAATCTCTCACGCTTCCTTCACTGATTCTACATTACTAAACTTTTCAAAATTATCTGGATCTACACATTGATGGATTATAAAGAGAGCTTTATAATCTTTCTTCTTCAATTCTTTGAATGTAGCCTTTTCTTGATCCGTCACATTTTCTGCAAGCGGTGCTACTCCTCCCTTCACAAGATCCCAAAGATCTTGATAATAGAAAACCACCTTAATCTTCTTACACCAATTCTCATAATTATTTTTCTTGAGAATTGAAAGGTTTGCCAAAAAGTGACCGTCTGGATGATTCATCTTCATCATGATTTTCCTTCCTTGAATCATAACCGGAGCTCTAGATACTAGATGTTGGAAATTCAACCACAACCTACGGAGAATTTCACTCAATTAATCTTGATTTGAAGATTGTTTAAACTCACGTAATGAAAATGAAATAAAAGTTTAGAAAGAAAGAAAGAAAGTAAACGTTGGAGAATAAGACGGTGAACAATTTTCTGTAAGAAACTCTCTGCCTACAAATTGTGGAAATTATGTTATTTCACTTGCAACTACAAGTTGTGAATTACAAAATATGATGAGATGAGATGTTTAAAAATAATGGTTTCTCCCTATTTATAGATTTAGGTTAGCTTACACCCCAAGTCAAAGCCTAAACTATAAAAGCCCAAAAATATCTAATCTAATCTTTCTAAATCAAATATGATCTAAATCAAATCTAATATTTCTAAAAAAATGAGTTACATATTTAAAACACCACCTAATTAATCGTGTCTAAACTATCTACATTCACCATAAGGTTTTAGGTGAGTATGTGGTGTGTCTCTCACAAAGGTGTTGCTCTAGAAATAAAATCCCACAATGTTCAATGCTCCCGAGTGAAAATATCCCCCCAACAGTGGTATTATGAGCCTTTGGTTCGAGTGAGGGACCAACTTACTTGTATCGAAAGTATCCCCATAGATCATGGGTTGAGTGTCTCGTTGAATAATGTCAACAACGGTACAAGGGTGTAGTTGCAAAGTTGAAGCTTCCGCTTAAGGGGGAGCATTGTAGAAGCATTGTGGATAGACTCACACTTAAGGGGGAGTGTTAAGTATTAACAAGTGTGAGTAGTGTGGATAATAGTCCCATATTGG